TGAATCCCACATTTCTCCCTTTAATTTCTTTTTTAAAAGCCCTGTCTCCAAATACAGCCACATTCTAGGATATACTGGGGATTAAGACCTCCACATGTGAAATTTGGGCCAGGGATCTCAATTCAGTCTGCAACACCCAGATACTGAGAAGGCAGAATATCCCCAGTCAGAGAGTAGTGGAAAACAAGGGGTTAAATTGATCTGGTCCATTAGGTGGAGAGGCATGTGTTTATGTTCTGGAAATTTCTGAGCAGATGAAGGCCAGAAAAGATACTGTAAAACTGAATCCTTAGAAAAAAATATTTTTATTAAAGTCGGATTTATTGAAGGAGGAAATATTGAGGGCAGAGGTTGCATAAAATAAACAATCTTCCTAGAGTGGGTGAGCACCCTCCCAGGAGCAGGGAGTGTGGTTTAAGAGGAGGCAGGACTGCCCTGTGAAGGAGGCAGGGGACCCCAGAGGCCACCAAGTTGGGACTGGATTGAGAAAAAGACTGAGGAGACGGACCCGTTCCTTTTCCAGGCTGGGTGAAAAAACTCCCAGATCTGCCACAGGGTCCTGGGTTTCATAGTTGGAAAATGCTTTGCTTGTAGCCTCTCTTAGTCACCATGTCCATATTTAAAGCACCCATCCTTTAAGACTAAATGTAAATAGGGGAGATGGTTCTTAGAAAATACATCTATGCCAGCTCTTGTCACCATGTCGCCCAGGTTGCTGCCTACTTATGTGACAGTCCTTGTGAAGTTCAAGACCTAGTTGCTGAACGAAAATGACCTGCCTTTTCATTATCCCCAGTATCATCACTGACATTTCTAAAACCACTCTCTCTAAAATTAACAGCACAGCGCTATACTGTTTGACCTGGTGGGGTCTGAAAATGGAACTGACAAAGCCATATGAACTTCATGGAATTTTTGCATGTCCATGGGAACCCACAGAGAATAAAGACCCAAAGAGGTAATCAGAAGGAAGCTTACCTTCTAGATGAGAGACAGATTTGTGAAGAGTTGACAAGACAGAGGGCCTGGGCTAGGGTTAGTAAACAGTCAGAAGTACCTCTGCAGACAAGGGGTAGCAGGACAAGGTTGTGCTTAGCTTCCTCTGGTGCAGTCTCTGAGCTGATAAGAGTCTATCTCCAGCAAAAGGACAGCTATTTCCTACTTCTCGACAGGAAAGGGAGAGTTCTTCGTGCATTTACCTGTGCTTAATTACCTTCAGCTCAAAATAATTTTTAAGTCAAAGAAGAATATTTGGGGGTGACATTCTGGCTCCTTCAGTCTTCTTTATTTATTATACATAACTTCTGGAGTAATAGATTTTTAAAGCCCATTTTTCAGCACTAACACAAGTAATATCTTTTAATGAATGTGTGGATGATACTGGTACAAGATATAAAAATTTTTAAATTACAATTAGCAATAAATTTTAAAACTACAAGCTGTCTACCAAAATTAAATGTGGAAGTTCAGCTGCATGTAGAGAAGAGCAGGGTTTGCCCAGTACTAACAAGTGGATGCATGGCACAAAGGCAAAGTTCATTGCATTACAGCATACCATAATGGGATCATTGCTTATGGTTTACTTGATCCAGCAACTTTGAAATTATGTTTTGTAACAACTAATTTTTAATTTGAAGAGATTTGCATTACTTAAAATTTTTCGAAGAAATTGAAACTCTATTAAGGTTGTTACCTCAAATGATCTCATATTTGCAAATTTGAAACTCGCAGTGATAGCAATACAGTGTAACAGGCAAGGAAGATCAGAGACTGAACAAACCCAAGTTCAGTGCAAAAGCAGATAGTTCTAAGTAAATGTCAAAATTTGAATTGAAAGATAATTTTTGAATCATCCCTGTGTCATCTGCTCCCTTAATCTTTGGTAGCCAGTTTTTTTTCATATCTAAATTCCGCTCAACTGAACCTCTCTCCCCCTAGCTTCTGTTAATTAATTTCATTTACTGATCTGTTGTTATGGTTCTACTCCCTTACCCCAATTTCCGGACCCCATTCTGCTGTTTTGCATGTTTTCACTGGGAAATTCCATTTCCAAGATGAAGCTTTAAACATGTGCTTGGGAAGCTTTGCCACAGGATATTAACTCAAGAAAGCATCCTGTCAGTCAGCTCAGCAGCCATTCAACAACCTACATGTGTCCGCCAGCCTGGAAATAAGACTCACTCCTCAACATAATTCCAAACTTATTTCCTCATCGGTGATTCTGGGGTTCTGGTTGTTCACAAGTAATTTTTTTGAAAATGAGTATCCTAGTCAGCTCAGGCTGCCATTATAAAATAACAGAGACAGTGTGGCATAAAGGCCAGAAATTCTCACAGTTCTGGAGTCTGATGTCTATGATCAAGGTGCCAACTGATTTGGTTCCTGTTAAGGGCTCTCTTCCTGGCTTACAGAGGCCTGCCTTCTTTCTGTGTCCTCACATGGCAGAGAGAGGGGGAGAGAGAGAACTCACCTGTGCCTCTGCCCCTTCGTACAGGGACACAAATCCCATCATGGAGGCCTCATTCTCATGACCTCATTGAAGTCCAGTCACCTCCCAAAGGCCCCACATCCAAGTTCCATCATATTGGGGGATAGGGCTTCAATATACGAATCTGGGAGAGGGGACCCAACATTCAGCCCATAACAATGGCCTTTTGGAATGTAAACTTAAGGAGATTTTTGAAAAGAATGAAGTGGTTTGAAAATTTTAAGGTGTCTTTGTGTATTGTTACATTTTTTGTTGGCAAGTTTTTAAACTTCTCCCTGAGCCTTTGTTTCTAAGGAAACAAAACTTTCTGAGAAATGTTCAGAAAAATAAAGCCTTGGTACAGTTTTGAAATTTAAGAAGTAAAATATAAAATGTGCAGAGAATTGAGACTCTGTGACAATACATACTACAGCAGTGTCTTACGCTTCAACTCTGATGCTTCGATTCTTGCTGCATTGCTGACCTAATGCAGCGCAAATGTTATTCAGCTGAATCTATTAATACTTTGTCTATCACAGGAAAGAGGACTTTGAGGGAATGGGAAGCAAGATCAGTTTTGAAGGAGGGAGGCGCTCTGGCAAAGAGTACTTTGGGTCATGGAATACTCAGGGTGGGAGTGGTGGAAGGGGTCACCTGGCCTGATGTCTTCCAGCAGCCTTCAGAACAGAGGATGTGAGTAGCAGGCCAACAGAGGTAAGAAAGCACTGAAACGCTGGTAAAGGGGGCCATTATTAGAAGGTGGGTAAGTGGTAGAGGATGAGGGGGACACAATCAAAACAGACTGTTCCTCCTTCACAGCGAGTGCTGCCTCGATTGACCACAACTGGTAGGTAGCTGGCACATTCTGGGCATGCAGTCAAAGTTGACTGCATGCTTAAATAAATTATTAAGTAAAGTGAATACATGCAGGTTCCCCTTACCCAGGCAGCAGTGCATCTCTTGTAGCATGTGCTCAAATTCTGCAAAGTTCATCCACTGAAACTTATTGGAAGAAGGTTCTAGAAAAATGAAAACTGTCAAGAACTCAATGTTAGTTGCCAAGAGGGGATGTCTTGTCATTTTGGTTTATCTAAGGATGGATTATTTAGACAATGTGCTTGTCAAAATGTAGTTTCTCCCCTGTTGTTTCCATTTCTTTTCTCCCTTTGAATTGCTTTTTATTTCTCCTGAGCGTCTTTCCTTTATCTTCATTGCTTAGTTTGCTTTGGAAATGAGACATTATCCAAGCCAGTATTACTTAGAATGACTGTAGGTAATAGGAAAGACTCTAACACATCGGCCTTTTATAGCTGCAATTGTGTTTTCTTTATGAGTTTTTTAAAAAGAGGGTTTCAGTGGATTAGTTATTGCACATTAATTGCCATGACTTGCAGAAAATGATCCATAGCTTTGTGTGTTTGTATATATGTATGTGTTACTGCTAGGGCATGTCCATTACCATATCTATTAAACTGTATTAAGTTGTTTGTGAAACTGTTTTATAGTTTTAATATTTCAAATAAATATTTCTCATTTTGCTTTTGGAGAAATTATTTCTTTTTTATTAAAAATGTTGATGTATTCCTTCAAGCTAATTTCTAAGGTGGCTTAATTATTTGAAAGAATCACTGTTTTTCTTAGAGACATATAGAGTCTTAAGAATTTGAAGGTTAAGGTTAGTGGGATTGTTTCTATCCAGGACTGTATAGCTCAGTTATTTTGTTAAACTCAAGGTAGCATCAGTTATCAAGCTGAAAGAAGTTGTAGAGGTTTCCACCAGGGCTGTTTGGCCTTTGCTAACCTAGACATCCTTTCAATAAATACAAAAAGAAAAAGTTGAATGCAATCTGAAATTCAAAGCAAATTCAAAATGAAATACTGTCAACAAAAAGCAAAGCAAAGCAACATAATGGAGTATCATTTTTCTTTTTTTTTCTGTAAATTATGAGTGGCTTTCAGGTTCTGATGCCTCTAAGGACTGCCCCTACCTGCTGTTGGGAAGGGTTGACTAGATTCAGTCCCTCATTTTACAGATAAAGAGACTGAGGTCCAGAGAGGCCAGAGGTGCCCCATCCCATGTACTCAGCATAGTAACAGAGCTCGGTCAAGAACCCAGGCGTCGTGTGGGCTGCTCACACTTTGCCCATAATGCCCCCTCCCCAGACATTTTATCAGCGTCAGCTCCCTAAGTCTGATGATGCTGGTCCTCTGGAAGGATATTCTGACTTGATGTTGTCACAGCAGGATGGAGACAAAGGTCAGGAGAGACATCTCAGGCCTGGCTAGTCCACAGGTTCTGGTTTATTTTTATTCCTTTTATTTCACTCTAGGCATGTGTACCATCAGGGCATAGAAACACTTCCCTGGTATAGCTTCTGGTGAAGGGGTGGGGAAAAATGTAAATCTGAAATTGGATTCATTTTTGGAATAAAACTTGGGTCTTTTATTGTATTGAAGCTCTTATTGATAACTCCATGAACAGTTCAAGAGGTCCTCTCAAACTTCAAATTTGTTCTTTTTTTTTTTTTAACAGTGTATCCGGTGGAGAGCTGTTTGATCGGATAGTGGAGAAAGGATTTTACACAGAGAAAGATGCCAGCACTTTGATCCGCCAGGTCTTGGATGCCGTCTACTATCTCCATAGAATGGGCATTGTCCACAGGGACCTCAAGGTGAGGCTGTTGCTCAGCAACATCCCACAGCCACTCTCTGAGCCACAATGTACCTGATCAAGAGAACTGGCTCCAGAGAAGGGAGGAGATTGCCTTGATGTGGATATGGTGGGCAACTGTTAGTTGCCAGGGCCTTTGGGGCCCAGAAGTAACTAGAAAGATGATGAAGCTCAATGGAGCTGGACATTGTTTGGGATTTATAACCATTATGCAGCTGAAGGGCCACAGGGATCCAGGCTGTCTATTGCCCCAAGCCTCTCTGTAGGAAATTTTGTTCAAGGCACACAGGCCACAAAAACCCTCCTCCCAGAGCAGCTCTTCATGGTCTTCTCCCAGCTGCAGTCCTGTTTCAGCACATCACAGTACAGAGAAGAGAGAGAGCAAGTGGGTAGAGGGCATGAAATGACAGACAGGGAAGGGAAATAGAAGGTTATCAGAAAAGATAGTTTAGGTGACCTCCAGTTGTATCCTGCTCCCAGCAGCCTGTCCATTCCTTGTTTGTCTTTTCCTGATGAGGTTTTGGCATGCTGACCCTTCACTCAATGGCACTGAGGGTCTGGGCCTTACTTGGTGCCTTGGTGTTACGTTCCTCCCTGGGTCTATGTAGATACTGGAGGGTAATAGCAGATGTGTCAACTGGAGGAGCAGTAGAAAGCATTGTTGGCACAGGGCTGTAATGTGGCTTCACTTTACAGCAGTCAGAGGGCCAGGCTCCAGAGCTCACTGCACCAGCATGATAGCTACCACTCCTGTCCTGAACAGCCAGGATTAAACTGGACTTGAACTAGGCTGTACGTGACCATAGAACATCTAATTCAATGTAAAAAATAAATCGTAAACATTTCTTAAGAAAGAATTCCAGAATCTATCTACATTTTCTGGCACTGGGTGTCAGGGTATAAAATGGTGTAGCTCTTCCTTTCAGGAGGTCTCACCAGGAAGTTTTCTCTTCTCACCATATTACTTTCCACTGACTAGTGTCATGGCTCCCAGAAGTGGGGCTGGAGAACTTGTACAAAAACAAACTGTTGACTCCAACCCAGACGTTCTGATTCTGTGGGTCTGTGGTGGGGCCCAGGAACTTGCATTTCCAAGGGATTTACAAGTGATGCTAATGTTGGCATGGAAACCACTCCTAGACAACCACTGGACAAGGGTGTTTGGGAATGTTGATTGTATCCTAAGAGCCTTCACCCCCTGCAGGTTTCTTGATGGGTGAGATGGGCTGTGAGCATGATCAGTTCATCTTGAGGACCTGGAGGTCCTTCAGAGGGCTAGGAACGTCAGCCTGGCACCACTATACAGGCAGCAGTGCCTTCTCTGCGCTCTTGTGCCCTCACCAAATGCCAGGTCTGTGCTTCCAGAACACAGCAGCTCTCCCCAAACAAGTTAGTGTGGCAACTGTAGAGATGTGATGTGATGGATTGGTTGTCAGTCCTTAATAGAAGTACTTCTAAGCAGACGAGCCATTTCTTAGAGGGGCAATGTTCATTTTTCCTTTTAGAAGGGCAGATTGACTGTATGGGAGACACTGTTTTTGCCACCCACATAACACTTTTGGAGAAGTGCTTGTGGCTGCCAGCCTGTGGAGCTTTAAGATCACCAGGCTTGTAATTGTGGAAAGAGCATTGTCATTTTAGGGCCTTTCTGCAGTCTCTTTTCAGAGGCACATAGGCATTTAATCTATGTAGAGAAAGTTGGGGGTCGAAATAGAAAATGTTCATAAACACCTAAAAAAATTAAACCAAACTGTATGATTTCAGCCAGAGCAATAGAGAACATGATCAGGTTAATTTCAGAAGAGGGCACAGTCAAGGAGGCTCCACTCCCCCACATGCAGATACACCTCTCCCTCCCTACAGAAAGGCCTTCTTGTGTCTTCTTGCCCCTGAAAGCTATTTTAGATGATCAACTGTCCATTTTTCAAATCAAGGGACTGAGACATGAAATAGCCACTTACTGCCCCCTCATATTGGGGTAGGATCTTCTTCAAAGCCCCTGCACAGCTAACATTTGGCTCTGGATCATTCTTTGCCCTGGGGCCCTGTCCTGTGCATTATAGAGTGTTTCCAACAGCATCCCTGGCCTGTATCCAGTAGATGTGAGTACCACTTCTGGAGTTGGAACAACCAAAAATGTCTCTAGGCATTGCCAAATGCCCCCTGTTGAAATTGCCTTCAGTTGAGAATCACTGGATTATATATAACATTAGTTTTACAGAAGTGTTGATTCAGATATTTTAAGCTTGTTATATGAACTATTGAAGGGTTGAATGGACTTTCCAACTTAGGTATTGGCTACCAGTTGTCTTGGAAAGATGTCATAAAATGCAAAAAAATAATTTTTTGGGTGAGTCCTGGACCTCATAGGCCCCAGGCAGAATTGCAAGATGCCTCCCTTCTCCCTAGCCCTCCTACTGCTAACTGGGGCCTCTGTCTAAATTATCCCTGTACCTGTCTCCCCCCAGGAAAAGACCTGCTATCTTTAGTAAGTTTGGAGACAATTAAATGTATTGATTTAAGCCATAAAAGACCAGTTGGTTTAACCCTCCTTGGTAATTGCCATTCAAAAGAGCCCTTTATTGACCCAAATGAATCTCCTATAAGAGGACTGTGTGGATTGGATTAAAGATGGTGGTGTGATGTTCTCGCAAGAGAAAATACCTGGCGTGCCTGCGACTCCCTGCAGGGCTCTAGGCCAGCCCGAGGGCTGCCATGCTCACGGCAGCTCAAGAGATTGTCCCAGAGTCTGCACCCAGTGTCCAGGTAACCTGCACAGGCAGCGGAGAAAGGCAAGGTGACCAACAAGCAAGAAGGGACTTTGATCTCCCAGCTGACACACGTGCCACCTCCCTGGGACCACTTCTATTGCCATGAAAAGGCAGAAGAACTGGTCCAGTCAAAAATCACTCAGACAACCTCAGAGAGAGGGCCTGCTGAGATAGATATAACCAATCTTCCTGAAAAAGAATTCAAAATAAAGGTCATAACCATGCTGATGGACTTGCAGAGAAATATGCAAGAGCTAAAGGATGAAGTCAGGAGGGAGATAACAGAAATGAAACAATTGATAGAAGGACTTAAGAGCAGACTGGATGAGGTGCAATAGACTGTTAATGGAATAGAAATCAGAGAACAGAAATACAGAGAAGCTGAGGCAGAGAGAGATAAAAGGATCTCCAGGAATGAAAGAATATTAAGAGAACTGTGTGACCAATCCAAAAGGAACAATATCCACATTATAGGGGTACCAGAAGAAGAGAAAAAGGGATAGAAAATGTCTTCAAGAAGGTAATTGCTGAAAAATTCCCCTATCTGGGGAAGGAGATAGTCTCTCAGGCCATGGAGATCCACAGGTCTCCCAACATAAGGGACCCAAGGAAGACAACACCAAGACATATAGTAATTAAAATGACAAAGATCAAGGATAAGAACAGACTGTTAAAAGCAGACAGAGAGAGAAATAAGATCATATACAAAGGAAAGCCCATCAGGTGATCATCAGACTTCTCAGCAGAAACCTTACAGGCCAGAAGGGAGTGGGATGATGCATGTAATGCCACGAAGCAGAAGGGCCTGGAACCAAGAATACTGTATCCACCACGATTATCATTTAAATATGAAGGAGGGATTCAACAATTCCCAGACAAGCAAAAGCTGAGGGAATTTACCTCCCACAAACCATCTCTACAGTCTATTTTGGAGGGACTGCTATAGATGGAAGTGTTCCTGAGGTTTAATAGCTGTCACCAGAGGAAATAATCACAGTAAAGAAAGTAGAACAGCTAATTACTAAGTAAATGCAAAATTAAATTAACTATCCCCATAGTCAATCAAGGGATAGACAAAGAGTACAGAATATGATACCTAATATATAAAGAATGGAAGAGGAAAAAAAAAGAGAAGGAAAAAAGAGAACCTTTAGATTGTGTTTGTAATAGCATGTTAAGTGAGTTATGTTAGACTCTTAGATAGTAAGGAAGTTAACCTTGAACCTTTGGTAACCATGAATCTAAAGCCTGCAATGGCAATGAGTACATACCTATTGATAATCACCCTAAATGTAGATGGTCTGAATGTGCCAATTAAAAGACATAGAGTCACTGAATGGATAAAGAAACAAGACCCATCTATATGCTACCTACAGGAGACTCACCTCAAAACCAAAGACATACACACACTAAAAGTGAAGGGATGGTAAAGATATTTCATGCAAAGAAGAGGGAGAAAAAAGTAGGAGTTGCAGTACTTCTATCACACAAAATAGACTTCAAAACAAACAAAGTCACAAGAGGCAAACAAGGACATTACATAATGATAAAGGGGTCAACCCAACAAGAAGATATAACCATTATGAATATCTATGCGCTCAACACAGGAGCACCTACATATGCAAAACAAATACAGAGTTAAAAGGGGAAATAGAATGCAATGCATTCCTTCTAGGAGACTTAAACACTTCACTCACCCTGAAAGACAGATCAACCAGACATAAAATAAATAAGACAGAGGTACTGAACAACACATTACAACAGATGGACCTAACAGACATCTACAGAACTCTACACCCAAAAGCAGCAGAATACACATTCTTCTCAAGTGCACATGGAACATTTTCAAGAATACATCATATACTAGGCCACAAAAATAGCGTTGGTTTATTCAAAAAGATTGAAATTGTACCAACCAGTTTCTCAGACCACTGAGGTATGAAACTAGAAATGAATTACACGAAGAAAATGAAAAAGCCCACAAACAATTGGAGGCTTCACAACATGCTCCTAAATAACGAATGGATCAATGACCAAATAAAAACAGAGATTCAGCAACATACGGAGACAAATGACAACAATAATTCAACACCGCAAAATCTGTGGGACGCAGTGAAGGCTGTGCTAAGAGGAAAGTATATCGCAATACAGGCCCATCTCAGGAAAGAAGAACAGTCCCATATGAACAGTCTAAACTCAACAATTAATGAAACTAGAAAAAGAACAAATG